CTTGTCATTTTCCCTCAACTCTGCCCGCACTTGTGTACGATATTCTTTTGGTAAACTCTGTTAAATTCTTTGTTAAAGAATATGCCATCACTTTCCTGCTGGGACCCTGCCTGAAGAAATGTACTTATCTCTTATCCCTATCCAAACCCACCTCCAAATCTTAACTATCAATCACCCTTGGTCTTCAAAACATAATCCTACATTTTCCCATATGATGTTGCTCCTAACGACTGGAATCAAGGGGCCGTTAGCATGCTGGGTGGCAGGGCGAGGCAGACCCCAAACAAACTAAAACAAGAGTTCTAGAATAGATTACTGGCTGTGCTACTTACTTGCCGTGTGACCTTAGGAAAATGGCTTATCTTCTCAAAGGACAGTTTCTTCATCAGTAAAATGGGGGCAATAAAACCCACCGAGCAAGGTTCTTGCAAGGATTAGGTGAAATAACAAGTGGAAAGCAACTACTACATAAAACTCAGTAACTAACGGTGTTGATGAAAATCCGAGATGCCTACTGATCCTACGCAAGTTCTACTCACCATGAATGTTCCTCTCAAATGCTCTCTCTTTATGAATCTAGCGAGTCTACATTTCAGAAGGGAGATTGTTCTCCATTAAACCTGCAGCACTTTTTTTCGCTCCTCTTAAAGTTCTTATTCATACATATTATATTTATTTACCTGCAAACATATTCTATCTGTTCTGCTGAATTCTAAACTCTGCCATATGGGCAGAGATTACGTATCTTTGTTTTTGCTGGGACTAAAGTGAATAGTGCTCTGAGCATAACAGCTGCTCAATAAATATTTGGAGACTGGATATGTAAAGAGAAATAACTATCGCTGACTCTCCACAATCTAATTAACACAATACCAAAACATTTTAATATTGGCAAGTTAGGTGAACATATTGATATTTGGTAATGAAATAATATTTAATGGATATCTAAAACAACCTAATGGAAGACCATAATTAAATAAGCACAAATGCATGTGCTTATTTAACATTCATTTTTGGTGTCTCCCAAGTGAAAAGACAATTACAAAACAATCATTTTTCTAAGAACCAATGACCTTAATTTGCATGTAATTCAACTTTTGCAATTTTGTCTTGACAGATATCTTCGCATTTATTTTTCACAACAGCTCTGTGAGATCAGCTATTAATCTCTATAGATTATTCATGAGGGAGCTGAGACTATGAGAATTTGTTCTTGCCTTAGATTGACCCAAGCGATGACCTTTCTGATGAAATAATCTTTAGCAATATGATAAAAGCTGCTGGAAGAAAAAAAAAAGGCATACAAAGTCCCGTCTCTTAGAATCATGCCATAATATTTCAGGCGGGAAGCCTGTTTAAAGATATACAAAGTAGCAATGACAATCTTGTGATCTGAGGCATACAGAACATGTATTTATTTACTCCATCAACAGATAAGGCTAAGCGATGGCTATTTTAAATTCAAGCATCCAAAGCTGAATCAGAATTAGAATCTAAGTCATGCAACTGTATCTTGAGCTGTGATTAACATATTTATAGAATGCCTACTGTGCACATCCTAAAATACAATCTAGTCAATTCACAAAATTCATTCTCCCTTAATGTTTAAGATGAAGTCAGTATTTGCCTGAAAGCAAAAATCCAGATTTGGTCTACTAGACCTAGTTTTAAAATAAATCATTCCGCCCCACCCATCCTTCCTACCATATCTAAACATACATCAAATAGGTAAAAGTTTGATTGATTAAATGCTACTTCTCTGTGCCTCCTGGTTCCTGTGAAAGAATCTCATCCAGGTGAAGTAAGTAGAATTGGTATTGGGTGTCACACTACTAACAAAGCAATATGTATGTTAAGCCAAGAGGTTTCTCAGGGGAGTTGCCACAGGTTTCAGCGGAATGACAATTACAAGGTAGATGGATCATTTAATGCCTGCTATGACCTTTACAATAGTGAGGATCATTATTTTAAGGTTAATTTGCATAATGGTTGGCCTAGCAAGAACAATAGTAAATGCTAATAGCTGCAGGATGCAATAAAATTAAACATTACCTGGGATGAACTCCTAAAGGAAAAGTTGCCAAAATATGACTCTTTAAGCACGTAATTTCATCCTAGGTCATATCCACCATAATCAGATATGGATTTCTGGTATGGCTTCCATAACTGGCAAGCAATGACTAGAAGGGAAGAGCAGCAGTGACCTCTTTTATATAGAATCCTTACCTGGTAGGCTTTGTTTTTTTTTTTTTAGATAACCTGCCTGCCCCTTTTGAGGTAGCTGAATTTGCAACTACTATCACCCCTCCCCCACACAACCTCCCTCTCCCCTCTTGCCCCTCCCCATATCTGGCAGATACACCAAATTTGATACACCAAGAAAGAATGAATCTCATTTTATAAGCTGAAAAACTGTTACTGAACCTTTGAAAGAGGTAGAGTTGACCATGGCTAGTAGTAGGTGTCATTTTCAAGGCAAACAGATACTGTCACCTCAAAGTAATAACCCTGCATTTTGAGTCGTAGGTGGAAAGTAGCTACTGGCAAGGAGAATAAAAAGAGATATGCATCTCAATTTAGATTTATCATTTTTAACTATTCCTATTGTCTGGAAATTGGATAGGTATGGTCATCCTGTACTTTGTATCCTGAATAAGTCTTCGGAGATCATTTATTTACTTATTTACGTATTTATTGACTTTTCACTCAAGTGTTGGAACTCATTTCCACCACAAGAGGGCAGCCATCTCTAAAAAACAACCAGAGAACCTGGATCTTGAAATAAATAGGGCCAAAATTTAGGAAGTTGTGCTTGCGAAAGGCATTCAGCAGTCCCTCAGAAATCGCATAATCACACATAAAAGAGATCCTGTTACGGGCAACACTGAAATGGAATAGAGTGTCCAAAAATGTCAGTTTTCCCTCAGATTCGTGACTATCAAAAAATTATTTCATAAACTGACAAGGTTCCCATTTTGCAAGTTATGAAGGCCTAAAGCTGCAAGACATCCTTGATGTCATTACCAGAAACTTATTTTTCATCTTTACTTGAAGAACATCCAAGAGCTATCAACATTCTCCTCTTTAAAAGCTACATACTGATTTAGGTCTCATAAATTTTGTTTTGTGTTTTAAATCTCGCTGGTGACAGAAACAATTGTTAACTTCTCAATTAAACTTGTTAGGGAAGGAAGTAGTTTCGGAAGCACAATAAACACTTTTCAATTTGTGTCTATGAGTAGAATATGTTCGATTGCCAACTTATTTGAGGTGTCCAGTGATTCAGAGTGACAATTGACTTCCATAGCACTTTATTTTCAGGAGAAAAAGCAAGCATGTTTCTGAATATTTTGCCCACCCCCAGTCCTCCATTTATTTTCCTAGTAGGTAAGCTTCCTCTGAAATACCTTATTTAACCTTTATACTTTCAGAAACAGCAAGTGCCTAATTCCCCTCTGTGGGTTGCTAATCCGATTTACGTGAGCAGAACCTAGAATTATTTTAGCTTCCCAACTGAAAAAATAATACACATGGATAATAGATTGTTATGGGCTCCTGCTTCAGCCTTTTCCCTTTCTGCTTTGCAGGCTTGAAGGTTCTGTGCAGGCAAACTTGATTTTGCTATCTGCCCTTTACTAAAAATTTTCTGCCCTTGGCTTCTGGAATCATTTGGGCAACTCAGTTGTGCTTTTGCATAGAGGATCGTGGAATCTTGAGAGGGACGGATCGCCTGGAAACTCACTGTGCAGCAGATCTGGGGACTATTTCAGCTGAGGAAGACAAGTGACTTGACCACATGTCATAAACCTGCTGCTGGGGCCTGGTGGAAGGGTGTGGGACAGAAGGTTCTAAGGTCTCAAACCAGAATTGTCTTGTAAGCTTGGCTCACGCTGTGCGTTATTTTACCTTCCTCAGAGCTGCTAATCTCCTGCCTCTGAGCTGGGTGAGATAAATATCACAAGGCATGAAGTGATTGCTACCATAAAAAGAAATAAAATCCCTCTCATCTTCTCTTAATGCTGCCACACACACACGGTCCAAGTTGCACATGTCATGTATAGCAGGATGACGTCCATTTCATAAATACATATTTACAGAACTATGTACTTTCGTTAGTATATATTTGCATACACGGATATATTTATAGAGATATACACACCTTGTATTTGTATATTATATATATTTATCTGAATAAAATACATGCATATATTTACATAAATATAAATGTATACATTTACTTATAAAATTTTAAATGCGTACATGTACCTGTGCGTGTTAAAGTTTAAATAACATCCAGTTTCCAAACTATCATTTTCTTTTAATTCTTTTCGCACTTAGGGAAATATAAACGTGTCTACCCCAAGCCTATGCCAAGATGCCCTGTAACTTGGTTGAGTTTTTTGTTTTTTTAATCGTCTAAGACCGAAAAACTTCAAACTGAAAGTTGAATAACGGGTCCAGTATGGAAATAAGAACTCAACTCCGTATTTGTCCCAGATTTCGCCGCCGGAGTGCTAGCAAGGGTCTAGCGCCCCAGCAGAA